TAATTGGGTAGAGATAATCAAGTCAAAATACCACAGATCCGTCATCCCAATCTACTAGGACCCCAATTATATCTGATCATTAAGATAGTCAACGCAGCACAACCGGAGACCCCTTATCAGCAATCTGTGAATTGCGTCGTCAAAGGGGACCTCGACAATCCTAAGATCAAGAGAACGAAACTCTAATCCTATGATCCTACAGAGATAGGAAGAGCAGAGGTGGGATATTTAAGTGAATGTAATCACAAATTTACTCATATTACAGATACAAGAGTTTGAACCTATGACTTTTCGGTTGAAAGCGCGATAAGGTGATTTGTTACATTTCAATACTTATTGAAAGCGATGAATCAATAAACTATTATCAAAATAAATTCAAATATCATAATAATGTCAGTACAATTATGAGCTATATAGAAAATTACAATATATTAAAAAAAATTATTTTTTTAATTTATTCAGTGCGACAAAAAGTAAGAAAAAAATTGATAATGAAAGAGCTAGAGAAATAAAAACAATTAAATTAAGATATAAGTGTAAACAAAACAATGTCCAATCAGTAAGACACATGTTATATAAAGCTAATTATAAGCAAAAAAAAGCAAAATTTACTGAATAAAAAGGGGCATTTACATACATACCACCCAATTTCATTGTATTTACGTATGAACTTTACTATTTACATTTGTACCAGCCAAATCATATCACATAAAGAATACTACCATTTTAATTTTTAAAAAGTGTAGTACACAAGTGGTCATGTATGTAAAAACTTAAAGTTTAGGTGTTAGATATGTAAAAACATACAAATTGAATGGCATGTATTTACATATTTCACAAGCAATAGTTAAAATAAGAAATACGAATTGAGAAAGTAGCCATTACTAATAAATAAATATATTTTTTTAAATTGCTAACTTGCATGTTCTAACTATTATGAGTTAAAGGATGCATATTATTTACATGCATACCACTCAATTCTTATGTAATACATATTTAACACCTAAAATTCCATTTTTACATGCTTGCCACTTTACCAATTCATAAAAAGGTGTATTTCGATTTTTATTAAGTGAAAGAATATCTAGGGGTGTAAACGAGCCGAACACGAGCGAGTCATGGTCAACTCGGGTTTCCGCTCGT